AATAAATGAAAAAATAAATAATGACTAATTGGATCAAAATCAATGAAGCTGCACTCACGCGGCGACTATGGCCGAACTGCGGAAGAATGCACCACAGTTGAAGCCGACTATAGAGGTACAAATGATAAGCACCACCAAGGCAAATACTGGCATTGAACTGTAATACATACGCATTGATTGGTTGGGGGAGAACAGCTAAAATTTCATTAGAAGATCATTCCAGATGGTCCTCTAACAAGAAAAGGGCCTGTTCCTAATTTCTGAAGCATGGTTTCAACAGAAACACCGGAAATTTTCGACTTCCGATTTCCTTTTCAGCAAGCTCTTAAATTCGGTACTTTCTAGAAATTATGGCCAGGCCTAAAAACTAACGTTGGTATAACGGCGAGTATAAAGAATGCAATTCCCATGCCTCCAATGGCCAACAGATTGAAGATCTTCACGGAGGTGACCGGTCGACAACATGTGGCCTTGTCGGCCAGAACGCCGGCAAACATCTTCAGCACGAATGTCACTATCTGAATAGAAAAGGCACTGTGTTGGTAGATGTTGAATGTTTGGGGTTGAGAAAAAGTATTGCAGAAGATTGGAAAACTTTTACCATTTTTTTTATATAAATTAGTCATTCAGTACCATGGCGGGAAGGCAGAGCTAATGTTGAGCTTAATTAAAGCAACAGTCCCAGCAGGGTGGGCGTGGTCGGAAACGACTGCAATTCCGACCACGCCCACTTCAGCTCCCTCCCTAGCGGCTTTCCAAGGTGAGTTTTTGTTCAGTCACACTTCTTACGTTCTTGACTAGGGGCTGAACAGCTCCGAAGTGGGAATCGGCCGAGGGGATTGCAGCCGTTTCCGACCACGCCCACCCTGCTGGGACTGTTGCTTTAAGGGAAGGGTGTTGGGGGTAACTATGACGCGTGAACTAGCAGCCTGTGAATGCCTATCAACCAATGATATCTGCAAATTAGCATTTAGCTCCACCTCCTAACCATCACTCTCAATGCCAGTGACAATTATGGAGCAATTTGTAAGAGATATTTGGACTATTCTAGTTACTGAATAAGAAACGTGGTAATCCATTGGATATACCTGCGGTATGGCGCTGAACAGACCGGTTTGTTCCACTGGGAAACCCATGACCTAAAATACTGAAATTTAATTGCTCAGGTAATCGATATATCGATTACTATCGCTTACTTTGTTGAGGTAGATTGGAGAGAATTGCATGGTCACTTGGATGCCCATAAATGGCAATAGCGATTATTCTACGGCTATATTATTGATAGTGTTGTGTCCAATGGCCTGAAAGTATTATACAGTCTTCTATAGTCGATGAAATTTCGATAATCGCATTTTCCGTTTCGTATTTTTTGCGTGACGTTCATCTGTATTTTAGTATGTGGTTGAATTGACTATCCAAGGATTTCATAGTGTTATATAATTCAGTTTCCTAGGGAATAAGGATCGATATATATTCGATCGAAGAGAGGTAATCGTGACCTTGAACGCAGTAAGGCTCTTTCTATTGCGGCTTCCTTTGGTTAGTTTGATACGATCAATTCTTTCGCAGACAAAACGCATGCATTTGTGCGTTGTTCTCTGCTAGTTCTAACGATTTTATTATTAAAATTATGATTTTAATTTGTATAGTCGTGAATTACAAGTGTTATCACTGTAAAGTAGCATGGAAATCAGATAACAATATTGCAGGTAATAAATGGCGTGCAGGATTAGTAGACAGAATTGACCAGCAAAGGATATGTGAATAACGCGCCTGCTACAGGCATTCGTGAAGGATGGGGCCCGATTGAATAAGTAAAAGTGGCACAGTCAGCTTCCGATCATATTATCGTTTAATGGTATTTTGTTGGGATTTGGCAAAAGTCAGGCTCGTGTTTCGGCATTATGGCACCTGATATTGAGTTTAGAGATGGGAGGTGGAACGATAGTGAAGAAAACGAACGAAAACGAAAAAAAAACTGTCGACAACACCTAAATAGAAACCCATTCCTTCTAGCAGTGAAGGAGATTTGCTCGGGGGAGAGTCACGTCCAAACGAGTTTTCTGGATATGCCAGCCGTTCCATCGGTTGATACGGCAATCAACTCAGCTGATCTCACACGTTAGGCCAGCCACGCACCACATCCCATGGTGGGCGGCCGGAGCGCCTCCAGGCGGCGCGATGAGGCGGCTTAAGTAGGATGATCCGCTGTCGACGTATTTATATCATTGACGGCGCCTTTTGAGCTTTGTGACAGCATGAGCAATAGGGCGCTCCCTGTGGGTGCGTGAACGCCATGCAACATAGAACGACTAACTAGTGTTGGTTTGGTCCTGAGCCTGACTCGGTGGCTTTTAACTACAGTTTCCATTGATACAATGTTGCATCAATTTCCGAGGAAAATATTTGGAAAAATCCTCACTCGCTGGTGTCTCTTCATTTCTAAGATTGTTGAAGACAAGTCTTACTAAGCCCGCTTCTCCACCTTGGAACGTATATAAACTGTGACGAGGAGCTAACGGCGACCAATTGAACTCAACATTTTTCGGTTTGTCATGAGAATTAGTCATGTAGACATGCGTTCTGCTTTCCTATTGACATTGTTCGATGTAAAATGCGGGGTTGGTGGAATCATAGCAATAAGAAGGACATTCGGTGAGGTCCGTGGTGTTTATACTGGTTAATGGATATCGAGAGTTTCTTTCACTGTTTAATCTTTATGTTTGACCAACCCGCCCTATTTTTTTGAGTTGTAGCATCAATAGAATGAACACTGTTACTATTAAAGAGATTGCTTGAACTGATCGAGAATGAGGTGGGGGTTTGAAAGGTAGGAAACATCTGTTGGAACTTTTAATTTTGTGGGTGGGTTTCAAGCTATCAACGAAGTGAACGAGGATTCACGTAGGGTTTCTAAGTGGCGTGAGAGGAGAAATGACATAGTCAAAGGCAGGCGGACTCCAGGGGTAGGCAGCGACAATTGTGGAAGGGCAAGAATTTAGGCTCAAGGGGATGATGTCGGTATATTTGTAGATGGGCTGTCGCTCTCGCGCGTATGTATCAGTTTTGCGGTTGTATCTCACAGAAGGGGGTGATCTCGCGTCTCAAGGGTCTTGTACTCTCATATTGTCTAGCTCTCTATATAGTATCAGCCAAGCACTAAAAGCGTTTTTCGCGAGGCGCATCATCGCATCGGCACCACTCCGGTTGTCCGCGCCGGATACATGTCGGTTGTTAACGTCGCACGTAAAAGAGGGCGTGAATCCAATAATTGGGTCGGTTTTGGACCGGATCTCTTGGCTAATGGTCAGTTTGCCTTGATCGTTTCTCGTGTGGTTTTTCTTCATCCCTGCACCACTGACCCTTATTTCTGATGGGCTGCCTTTTCATCGTGAAATCTGCCTCTGAATAAAGGAAAAATCAATAAGGTGGATCAATAACCGACCTGTAGAAATCGCATGACGACAATCCAGTAGAAACCAAGATAGGCACATAGTGGGATAAGAGCTGTGCAAAGCGCAGAAAAGAAGCCGAATATCGTCACAATAGATCGGGTGCCGAACTTCTGCAATCGGTGCTGATCAATCCTTTCTTGGAATGCGCCACGCTTACTAACTCCTTCGAAATCATAGGGTTGTGAGCGTGATAAGCACCAGCGCTTCCCACTACACACGTCCGTCCTATGATAATAGCACTTGCAAAGTTATTCCAAGTTTTAACAACCTATTCTACTATAGGTCGTTATCAGAGGAGATGCCCGTGCGTAGAAGTATGGATTGACAAGAGTTTCCCGTTCAAGATGTTCGACTCTGATTTCAATATGGTTCACCATAAGAGCCAGGGTCAACCCTATGTTGCTACAAGTAGCAACGGGGGGTCGTATTTTGATGAGTTTGTAGAGAGGGGGGTCGTACTTGCTTCGGTTGTAAGAAGTTGCATGTGATGAGTGGGAGCGGCGCGGGAGAAAATTTGCCGTTTCAGCGCGCGTAGCCCCCCCCCCTAGAAAAGGATCGTATAACTTCGTAAAAATAATGGATACTTGTTAGGGAATGTAGGACAATTTTTGCTGTTTTGCGATAATGTATATGACCCCCCGCTCCGAACCAGCAATTTGGGCGTAAAAATTGTTTTGAGACGGGGGTCGCTTACGAACACATGACGCGAAGGGTACGTAAAAACTTTTTAGAAAAGTAGCAACGATAGGACCGACCCTGATAAGAGCATCCCCTTTTTACTGCTACGTGCATAACCTATGACTCAGCTCCAAAAACACAAAGTTCGGGTTTAGCATACGCTTAGCGGGGTGGCAGCGGAGCTTTGCATACAAGAGATTTCGCCATCAGTGCTGCTAGTCCTGCATCACGTGTTCTCCCAAGCTGATTGACCCAAGCAGCTCCAGCAAAAGTAAATCTATGGGATAGCAAACTTGTCAAGGGACTGTATATGAAGCTTGAATGCAACAGCGAATCAGAAGGCCCCACGATCATGGGGGTCTCAAGTTCGTCAGATGTCAACCTCTTGATCCGTCGTCCTCAATTTCCGTGCTCCTCCTCAGCACTACCATTGGTATATCCTTTCTTGAATGAGGCAGGAGCCATACGTAAATGTGAATACACTGCATACACTAATCAATCGCAACAGCTGTTGGGCTTTCACGAAGAATTCTGATTAGCGAGCATGACGTGCCTAACTCGGTTGGTCTTCGATACCTTGACGAGTGCAGCCGAGGCCCTGATCATCAATGATCACGGAGTTAGGAAACAACGGATGCCCTTTCTGCAGTTGCGCGTATTGGGCAACCCCAAACGTAGTCCTCGAGGCTGCCACACGTGCTACACGTGATGCGTGTGCTTTCCGTATTCAAAATAGTCGGCCGTCAACAGAACAGATCAGATTAACGCCGTTTCGATTGATGACGTATCCAAAAATATCCAGGTGCATTTTAACCTCCCTCATGAAATATTGACGAATGGATTTTGTGACTCCTTCGGGGCTCTAAAATTTAAAGGCCCGGTCCGTGATCCCTCGAGTATTGTTGTTTAAAAAATGGAAATATAGAGTTGCGAAAGGGAACACCCTGGCTAAAGAAGAAAGGAAAGAGCACTGAGAACACCGGAAGGAACTTGTTTTTCGGCCCATGAACGAGTAATAGCAGACAGTCTAGATGGCAAAAGAGATTCGAGGCGAGGGAGCAGACTCGGTACTGAGACAAGATAACGAAGACCGAGACGCGGATCCCTATTGCTGCAGCAGCAGTGCGCTTTCAAGAGGGCAAGTCAACACTACTGAAGTACTTCCGTTTTGAGTCGCAAAGTGGCAGTATACGGGATGCGCCAAAACTATGGTATCGTTGTGTAAGACACTGTGTTACAAAAACGAATATAAGCCTAGTGAAGCAAACCAATTTCAAAAAAGTGTTGGCTAGTAGTTGACAAAGAAAAACTAGAAGATTAGGGAAATCGGCTACGAATTGCATAGCCTTTAGATGAGGAGTGGGGAGGGCTGCAGGGTGACACGCGGGAGAGACGAGCCGAAATGACCCCACTTTTTTGGGGTGCCCTTTTCAGGTAACCTGACTTATTTGGGCTTTTAGTTTGATCTTACATCCAAGTTCACCATATACAAATTGACTATGAACGAAAAACTGCAAGATTTTTGCGCCTTATAACATATGCCTTACATCGAAAATAAAGTGCTCAAGTTCTTGTCCATGGTAAGCACTGGATCCTGATAGTGCCCAAGTGTCTCAGATCCATTTTTCTCCGGTTAGCGTAAAGATGTTACGGGGAGGAAATCAAGTATTTACGTTCAAAAATTGCTCCTGGTTAGTAACTCGTAATTCGACATCTCGTTACATCTGTCTGTTACATTAACATCCAGAGCTCTTTGTTGGTACAGATGTGGTTACTTGCCAATTTTGAAAGCTGTATGATATTTGGTTTCATTAAGAAAGACATTGTCCTCTATATTATGCCTAAAAGCAAGAGGAAAATGAACGATTTGGAAAAAAGGGGGTTTGACCGACGCAGTCGCGGTCACCATGATGTTGGCCCACCCTGTGTATCTCTGAGGCTCACGGCCCAGCAACTTCACTACCGAGAAGAGTTGTTTTGACGAAAATCGTCACCCAATGTGCCTTTAATTCTCCTTGTGATCACATTTTAGAAGAAAAAGTGCCGGTTTCAACAAATCGGGCAGTCTCGATCGGATAGTAACTGATAGCCGGTGTCTGGTTAATTTTTCGCTACCGCTCCATTAATCATATATTTTTCACAGGTTTTGAACATGCATAGATCCTGAACTGCGGTGTTTACATTTCTTTTTCTCTACTGCAGGCCTTTAAATTCGAAGGGACGTTCTGCTAATCGCATGAACGAGTCACGTGAACGAAGAGGGGCACAACGGTCCAAGTAACTACACTAACATGCTTAGCGAAAGCGCGCCTTCAGGTCCAAGCCTAAAACCGGGTCAAATTCGTACACAACAACGTAAGTGAGCTTGCCGCCAGAAGCGATTTGGTACAAGATGTAATTATGAGATTAGTAATCATCAACCAATCAGAGCCAAAATAAGGAACAAGTCTACGGTATCTCACCTGAATGAGCCACATGACCGGGTAGACGGCCACCATGGCGCCGATGGCCACAAACGAGAACAGCATGTTCTTCTCGTTGGGCGTATAGGCATAATGACGCCTAGCAAAGACGGCGTCTTCATATTCCAGCAAATGCGTCGAGCTACCAGTCTGAAATATCGAATAATAAATTTCAATCAAACGACTATTCGAACAGGTGAGTGCTACGGTATGTGCACGGGTACGGTAGCTGCGGAAAAAGATATAGGATCGAACAGTCAACGTGCGCGGCACATTGGCTGCGCACTGTGATTGATATGGTCGTTCAACTATCACCGTGATAGACCATCGGCCACGATTTTTTTCATAATCAGACGATTTTATCAAGGCCACGGCGATAGACAAGGCGACGTTTCCCTAATAATAGAAGTATTTGTTCCGATGGGTAATGAAAAGGGCTGAAGGATAAGGCACATGGTGTTAATCTATCTCGTCCTTGGATGCGCCACGCATTCCACTTCCATTCATAATCGTAATCTGACCCATAGGCCTATGTCGGACTTTGCGAATAGCGCGATTCGCAAAGTCTGACATCGGCCATACAGTTACTTGCGAGAGACAGCCGATGGATAGGTCAGTGCTTTTGCCCTCCCACGTAAATCTGGCATCAACTGACCAATGCCGAAGGGACGAAAGGCTTTGTAGATCTGCACGGCGTACGATCCACGGATTGATCCCAGGTCCGCGTGCATGGTAAGCGGCGCCGCTTGCCACGACGCTGTTTCCTCGTCTCACACGAGATGATGCACTCATGCTACTATATTCATATTGAATATTGATCACCTTTTATACCTTTTATCAATACGCTCAATAAATTCACATAGCCTTAAGTGGTGTTACAGAATGCAAAGGCATTGTAGCTCTTATATAAGTCATGTGCCATTCCCAAGCCCGAAGTTCGTGTTCACGGCCAGCTCAACCTTCGTGTACTTTCGGGATTGAGGAATCATTGCTTGGCAGGAAAACAAGCCTGCAGCGTTTCCTAGAAGTCATGGCGCGGGCCTGACCGGCACGGGCCGTTCTTATTGTACTGTGACCCATTATTCAATCTTGGAAGAGCTCACTATCTATTTAGAACTATCTACTCGTGAGAATCAGCCCATTCAGTATGATGGCCCTCCTCTCTCAGCAGAAGACCCCCAAGGTCTCCTTCTGTAATAGTGCAATAGTCAAATAAACATGTAAACATGTAAAAAATTGGCTAAGATGGAGCGACGGCCCATTGGTGTAAGGGGAGGCATCGGCCCAGAAAGCGACCGGCTCGGATTCGATCCCGACCTGAGGCAAACAGTTTGCCTGTAACCCAGCAGGCTCTTGTAATAAAATCCTTATGCCCAACTGGGGACAGGTACAGCTGTTTAAAATTAAAACATGTCCAAAATTCGATTTTATGACTTCGGTTCACTTCTCTGCCACCGAGGAGAAACTGGATAAGAATGCGGCTAGAAATATGCTTCCGGAAAAACATGAAGTACGCTCAAATAAGTTAGAGATGGAACAGAGCCTGTGCTGGATGTTTTGCTCCCAGGCTGTAATGATCATCTCAGCTGGTCGCGGCTGGGAATGACCTCAGATAATTTTCGCTATGATTGGGAGCCTTAATGATCAGCGCTAGTGCGAAGGGCGGTAGCAACAGGAGAATAGCCTAGCCTAGACACATACCCCGAGGCGGGGAGAGCTCAACGCATTCTATTCACGAGAGTAAGGTGAAAATGTAAAAAACAAACCAGCTAGAAAATTAAAATGCAATGAATCGAATTGCTCACCTCGTAATAAGTACCATTAGTGGTTTGGAAAATGGTGCCGGAAGCGTTGTATTGATCGAAATTGATCGGATCGCCGGCCATACAAATAACAGTAAAATTCAGCGTGAGCGTGTTGCTTTGTGCAATCGACAAGCATAGTGTACAAATTAGTAGAATAATAAAACGGGTACGATTCTTAAAGACGAACTGATCTCGGGACGTGGGCGCGGGCTGATCGCTTGGCCGGGTTACGGTAAACACGGCGCTAAATTTGTTGATGTTCATTGCGGGTGTGAATGACAGCGCTCGGGGCTGCTTTTAAACTCTCGCGTGTACCGTTAAACATTCTCCGGGATAGGTTGCTAGTTAAAATATGCCGCTGTGGAGAGCATCGACGGAAAGACGGAAATCGCAGAGACCACCGCGGCCATACGTCATCAAACGAGAGACCATTATATGCAAGGTTCAATGATAACTTCGAAGATCATTGAGTGGGTGCGTGTGAGCGACCCCGGGCTGACGTGTGACCCTGCCAGAAATAGACTTTGTGGTGGGCTGGGGATATATCGACTGGAGTTCCTAGACTCGCATAAAGGTTGTCGCTGAGTCCCTCAAAAGCTGTGCCCTTTAGTGCTAACGATTCAGTCATGAATCTGCTGAAAATTATGCTTTCTATGAGAGGCGATTTGTTCTCTTGAAGGAGGATCCACGATAGGGTTGGATTTCGAAAAAGAGGAAATTTACCTAATGAAGAGGCAGGCGGCCTTTTAATGGTGCGCTGCGCGTTTCGCAGCGAAGAGTGAGCCCCGGTAGTCTTGCAGAGCCGTACCCGTGCCGCAGCACGCACGCCGATAGTTGCTCTAACTTTAGTGCTTTTGCAGAGAGGTCGTTTTCCAAGGGAGAGACATCAGCTATGATCAACTGTTCTGAGAGCGGTGGTTCGAAGAGGAGGTGGGGGTTGTTGATCGTGGCTGGTCGGGACCGTCTTGTCGGAGGAAAATGAAGCGCGCAGAAAGTTCTCAATAAAAGGGGGTCCGACGCAAAGCCGGGGTTCCAGCTCAAGCCCCAGTGTTCCAGTGGCATCTGTGTGGCGCCTTAGCAGTGTGGTGGTGGGACTGTACGACCCGTAATAAAGAGGGCCTAGGTTTAGGAGTGGTAACCTTGGTGGCATGGTGAAGAGAGCCTCAGTTGCTCGTCAGAGAGGAGCCTTAGCGGGGTAGTGATTTGACCTAAGTCGTTCAGACAGAGGAGCCTTGGTGGATCGTTGAGAAGAGTTTTAGTGGCTCGATTGGTTGGAAGGTTCTCCGTTGTTCTAGGGAGAGAGCCCTTGTAACTCGTCGCAGAAAAAGGATTACCTTGCACCTTTTGTGGAACCTCCGATCAGTGGTCTACCGGTCTTCGGACACCATCTGCCTCCAGTGAACTTTGTTATTTGTTCGAATGTTGTTGATTTCAACTGACTATAAACCTTCCTTTTCTTGTCTTGAACACATTTAAGGGTTACCTCCACGTCGCAGCACACAAATCCACCTATCTACCGTACATGGGGGCCGAACCAAAGGAAGATAAGAGTGACTGATAACCGTGCACAAGAGACAGTAAAAGGACAGTAATGAGCCGGAGAGTCGATTCCGAAGGAAAAGGGATTGCTTGACACGATAGGCTATGAAAGGCGTGTTTCCGAATTTTGCGCGATGTTAAGGAAAGATCAAACGAGATCCTGGGTAAGTCAAGGCTTTCGAACCAAACTAAGGCAGTTGTGGAGGGCGTTCGGATAAGAGTCATTGAAGAGATGGAAGAGCACTAGTAAAGAAACAAGCAGAAAAAAGTTTGCCTTTTAGAAAAGGAAATCACTGAAACCCTGAACAAAGGGGGATGCAAGGAGTGGAGGAATGGAGTGAATACGTAAGGTCTATGGAGCGAGATAGTGAGCTGGTGACAGAAGTTTGTGAAGTGTTGAGCACTGATGTGTTGCACAGTGAAAAACAGCTGTTCTTTAGAAGCATGGGGACCTGAAGGCGGGTCGATAAGGGCAAGGCAAGATGGGTCAACCAAGCATGCCGATGGACGGAAGACAAACGTTCAATAGCAGTAGTACTGCGTGGGACAGAGTTATAGTGATACCCGGCTTCTCCGTCGGTGGATACGACATTGCTGGCCCGAAAGACAGAGATGCGTCAGCATTTAGAACTTTGTTGCATAAGTCGATAGCGGGAAGAATGAGAGCAGTCACGAAGCTCAGACCTGAGAATGAGACCCAGTCAGGACGTAGCCGAGTACTGTATTGTTCTAGAAAATTTGGTCTCCAATCCAGATTGCAAGATTGTGGAACGGTCGTTAGAGTATGCTCAAATTTTTCTAGACAGTCTTAGTGATTGGCCAGAGCATTTTCAACTGGATAGGGGCTCTTAGGTGGATTCCCGTAAGGCGTATAAAGAGATCAAACAACTACATTAAGCAGTCTAAAGTTAGGATTGGAATTTGTAGGAAATCAAGTGTGGGCCGGTGAAAAAGCAGGACCGAACAATAACGTGACTGTGACCACCTGGAAATCGTGGAAAAGACGGTGTTTCCTCACGTTGCGCTGTCACGTCAGGGAGGAAGGAACGGCCATCTCAAGAGAGAGGGGCTGGTGGAACAACTTTGAAACAGGTTCAAGCACTCATAGCGAAACTGAGAGAGATATAGCACAGTATGCCTATTCAGCATAGCTCTGTGCAGTGATAAAAATGTTCTGAGGATAGGAAATGTCACAGATCTTTGAGAGTTGCCATGTATCCAGAAAGCGAGTATGCGTAGAGTATAGCGTCAGGGAGGAAGGAACGGCCATCTCAAGAGAGGGGGGCTGGTGGAACAACTTTGAAACATATTCAAGCACTCATAGCGAAACTGAGAGAGATATAGCACAGTATGCCTATTCAGCATAGCTCTGTGCAGTGATAAAAATGTTCTGAGGATAGGAAATGTTACAGATCTTTGAGAGTTGGCCATGTATCCAGAAACTGCCCTCAGCCTTCAACAAGAGTGAACTAGCTTATAAAACGGATAGCGTTGAAAAAATAAACCTTGTCGGAGGTCATTAACCAATCCCTTAGCCTTGGGATAAGAGTAAAAAGTGAATGACAAAATGCAGATGAAGTGGTAGGCGGACGAGGAATTGAGTCTGTTTTGGGTACCATCCTGATACGGGATCAATGGGTAGTGTGGTACATGTGGAGATTTAAGGTGAAGTGCAGGACAAAGGAATGAGTGTAGACGCGTTGAGGCGTGTTGAGAAATCTCAGCTTGAGCCTGTCTTTGATGAATCCGATGGAGGATCGAGTTCTTGAGCAGCATACATAGAGACAGGGCGGAAGTGGTGTAAAGACAA